GTGATAAGCTGGTGTAGAGCGGCAGGTTGCAACGAGCAAGAAACTAAACACCATATATTTAAAACTCAAGATACTTAAAGAAGAACAAGTAGGTCATAAACCAGGAGCTAACAAGAAATTGTGAAATAAAAAGAAAGAGAGAGTTATTGAAAAGTATCAATAGAAATAAAATCAGCCACGAAAATTATTATCCCCCTTATTCTTAATAACAAGTTGCAACTTATTTTGAAAATCTAAACAGTGACGATTAATGAAATCAATTGGTATCTTCTCCCATTCTAATACCAAAGCTGCTTTTACCTGATTTTTTGTAGCATGACTTTGACCTTTGAACTTGTACTCTTCCAGTGAGTCTTTCAAATAGTTCCAAAGTGATTCTATTTTATTCAAATCGGGTGACTGGGCTGGCCAGTCAACAGATTGTATACCTCCTCTTTCCCGCTCCTCCTCACCTAATTCTCGTGCAGTAGTGTGGGCTGGAGCATTATCTTCAACAGCCCACATTTCTCTTCCAGTCTCTTATTCTATTCGTTAGAGAAATGAATAGTAGAGCGGTCATAGGATATGCTCTCTATATAGTACCCAATCGATACTGCCCTTACTTCTATCTCCTCACTCTTTTATTTGTTCCTTAAATTCCCATTCTTCGCGACGCTTGTTTCGAGGATACCCAGATGGAAGTGGATCAGTTTGATCCAATTGCTGTATATTAGTATTTAAATCTTGTAAGATTTTAAACTCTTCTGTTCCCTCAATTCATGCCATAGCCTGTTTTTGATCCTGCTTTTGTCTTTTCACCCTATTTTCAATCTCCAAAATATCATTAAAGTATTTCTTCTCTTCCTTAGATTCCTTCTCCCATACAAAACAAGGACCCCAATACTCGTAGGCCATGCAGCCCCAAAACATGATTTATACACCGGCCGATTTGAACTGATGCCTTCCGTAATCGAGTGGATTAGATCCACGAGGACGGAAAATATTTGGGGGTCTACGGGGGTGCCCTATCTCAATCCATGTTTCATCGGAATATGTAAAGCATCTAGAATAATGTTAACTTAATTTATTATTTTCTAATATACTACATAGATATTATACTCGTAAGATTAAGTTGAAGCTGAACACTAAAAGTAGTAACTCTTGTACAAGTGTCTGGCTTCAACTTATCGATATGAGTACTTTATTGTAATAGAAAATAAATTAAAAAAAACAAAAATAAACAAAAATAAACAAAAATAAATAAAAGTATTGAACTACCTTGGATCCATTCGAGTTGCCCAAAAAGTAAAGTTCATATGAGCTTCTTTATGATACATATTGAGAGGTGGTTTTGGTTGACTGGGAGGAAACTGATAGATGTTATGATGGTTGTGCATCACGCACTCGATAGTAGACCTTGCAGCCTTGATTCCCAATTCCTTTGCCAACTGTGGAAAGGTTTTGATATAACTATCAAGACCGCTCTGGGAGGCTCTCTTGAGAGCAAGGGATTGTTCTGAGTCTTCAGGTATCAACTCAGTGTGTCCGGGGCGGTTTAGGCTTCTCAAAACCGCGTACAAATCATGAAAATCGCTTGGATCGCTTGCACGATCCTGTTTGATTAATCAGATCAGTATAATTATAATTATTATCATAAATCAAAATTCTAATCAAGAGTTAATATTATCGTTGCCTTTGAACAGATTTGTCGAGCAGACTCTGGACGAACCTGCAGACAACTGGATATTTCATTCCATGTCTTGTCGGTACAGAGGTGTAGAGTCAGAATTGCATAACACATTCCTAGTGAGATCTCGCTTGATCCACAGGTACAGCCCATGATTTCTTATAAAGAGTCAAATGAGATAGGTTGTTGGAATATTCTGGTCACTAAACGGGAAGGTGATATGGAAAAGAGATTTCAACTTGGCGATAGTAGGAGCTGCTCTCCCGATGAAGTCATCAAGTTCATGATCCCAATGGTTGCTAACATGCCGCTCTACACCAGCTTATCACATGACCTATCTATCTATCGGCGGCACTCGTAGTAAATGGAACTTATCTGCACTCTTACTATAATCTCACAGCTCGATACCGGGGTGTTGGGTATATCTACCAACTAAGAATCTTTCGGCTTCTCGAAGCCCCCCCTTTTCGCACGATCCAGGGTCACGGATTATCACTGGAGGGGTGGTGGATGGTATCGATAAGGGGGGGGGGGTTCTTGGTATATTTAAATGTTGATTGAGAAGCAGTGAAAACCTATTTACGGTATGTTTGGGTATTATATTTAACACCGGCTTGGTTTTTCTAAGGGTAGAGATTGGAATATCATTCTCAACTCCGACCCCGATGCGGTGGGGCTAGTATGTTCCTAGCATCCCTAATTCCTGGGTGGCTTTTTTCGCTACTTTGTTTTGAGTTAGTCCTCGGATAGTGCTAATTAGTACAAGATTCGTGGGGGCAATGGGTTCATAGATCTGGGCATTTATGATAGCTGCGTACGGTTTCTGTTCTGTTTACCGGTAGCTCTGACGGTGTTCGGGTTCCCTGATCGGATGTTTTCACTCTTAGGTATCATACTCGAGCGCAAGAGAAATGTGCTATGATAGATCGTTGAAATCCCCCCCTCTGGGATAGGGGTGGGGAGATTACCAAACTTAGCCCTTAGATGAGGCGAGAAAAAAAATTCAACGTCCTACTACGAGAGGCAATTGCAAAGTCCTAGCGCATTTCTCTTGTATCCGAGTGCTTACGGGTACTTGTGGGGCTTGTATTCGGTATCCCCCAGCCACTTTCTTATCATCCCTCTCACCTCATAATCCATAGACTGCAGTATACTTGCCGGGCTGCGGTCATCTTCGCTCCCCTTTCCGTTCCGGATTCTTGTTAAGTTCTTTGGCCGACGCTGGTTAAATTGAGCTTATATCGCGTATTAGGGACTCTAATAAACATTGACTTTTCTTTTGTGGGGAGTGCTGAAGGTCGAGTGTCTTCCCGATACGGCGACCAGTTATTAGGCTTTGTAAACGATTCTCAAGCTAGGGCAATGTGAGTTGCGTTTGGTATGATGATTCGAAGTTTGGGAGCTAGATCCTTTGCTCATTACCCGCAAACTCCATCTGGAATCTGGAATCTGGCTATATCTGGGCAATAGCACAAACTACAGGGCAAGGAACCCGTTAACAGGAGCACACAGGGATACGTTTCGCTAGTCAACATCAAATAGGTATTCTATAATCTCCTGTCGAACCTTGTATCTTCCGCGTTGCTTACTACACTTTTGTGTCGGATGGGAGAACAGGGAGGATATATATCTATGTCCACGATATATACGGTTTCGGTCACTTGCCTTCCGGGCTAGCTAGCGGTAGTTTAAATCTCAGGCGCTATGCATCTGGCCCTAATTCTCGGGACGCCATCAGGTGCCCGGTGCGTATCATAGACCATAGATTTGGTCTCATATCGGGACGTATTACACCATCAGCGGGATGCACGGCACCCGTGGACTGGGTTCTCCTCTCTGCGCGAGTCCCGTTTGGGGTTGTTTAAAGGAAGTTTTAGCTCGGAACGGTCCAGGGGCTCCCCTACTCTGGAAATGTCTAACAAGGGTGGTTCTGTGTTCTCAAGAATCTCAGGGAACTCTGGTCCTAAGGGGAGAGGAGGTGGAAATAAATCCGTCTGGCCCAACTCTCCTGGCTCTGCCCCTGAGGGAATGGCGCTTCTGTCTTGGCCAACTTAGAATTTTCCTTTCAGGAACCAAATTAGGAGTCTGGGGATGCTCAATTTCCGTCTGCTGCTGAATATATTTTTTCCACGTCTTCATTTTCCTTCAAGTGAAGTAACGGGTAGTCTAGTGCTTGTACTCGAGTGGAGGGGGGGCTACGGATAGTAGGTATAGTGGGGTCGAGTACAGTACGAGTACAGTACAATGTTATGAACAGATGAAAAACATATCGTATAGTAGTTGTAACAGCCTCGGCTCCAGCTTCTTGTGACGCAAGCGGCTCATCAGGGGTTTCGGTTGATGCCGAGATCCGGCTGATTCTAACTTCCTGTTCGGGTCATCAGAGAAAAAAAGATTGTTAAGATGACCCTTTCCCCCTTCGCTTTTTTCTTTTGATATGATGGCTTTCTTGCCCGGGGAGAATCTGCTTCACGCAAGCTCCATAAAAGTTTTCATAATTCTTGAGACGAACCCTGCCGGGATGGATTTAGATTGACGCAACTGAGCGATCATTACCCTACGGTGCAACTCGATTTCATCTGAGAGCTCCTATTTAGATATATACTGTATTTTTAGCGGTTATGCTTCCGGACATTGATATTTGGGGTTTTTGGTTTTCAATGCAAGTGGCTATCTTAGTGAGTGGTCGTGATGCGGTATAGTGCTGTTTTCTGCTCTAGAATATTTGTTTTTTTTTTGCTAATATACGGGGATATCCACATTAGTTCCAGTAGAGAACGATGGCGAATTTTCTATCGGAATCCTTTCAGTACTCCACAGCCTCTAAGGGCCTAGTGGGGCTGTACCGGTACTGGGTAGTACTCACGCGAGTACTTGTGGACCGTGAACTAATATTGCCATGTCCTATTTTGGCGGGGGAACCCTCCAATTCTGGAAGGAGCGAAAGCGCGTGGATGCTCCCTTCTCCACTCTTTCTGACAAGGGCTCAAGGGCTCGTGTCAATATTGTAATATAATCTGCCCCATCGGGTATACCGATATATTAACCTCTTTCTGGTTATAAGCTTTCCCTAGCTTTACTATTCGCTAAGGAAAGCGGGAGATGTTCCGACCCTTCAGTACTCGAGTACTATATCTAGTACCAATCTCGGAATTACGGCAGGATGGCATCATTTGACCTTTGTGCTTTGCATAACTCCTCATCGTAAGTTTGTGCTCGTCAATTTCTGCTCTCAATCTCCTCGTTTCATTGGTTACTTTTTTGGAGAGAAATTGGGTTTCGAGTGAGGTAAAAGCTAACATATATTGGGGAACGAACGAACGGGTGAGCAACCATGTGGAGCCCAAGCGACGTTGCCCTCGATATTGGAAAGGCGGAAAGACAGGCCTCCCGCCAATTACATCGTGGAGATAACTCTCGCCCACATTCTTCAGACATATCCTCCTCTTCGGATGGCAGTTCAATATTGAGTCGGCAGGGCACACAACGAGAGACGGACAGTCAGCCGACTGAGGTTGAACGGGAAAGGACACGCTTGTCTGACCACAGCAACACTCTTGGACGTGCTCTTGTAGGGTTCACTTCAAGGGGCGAGCTCCCCCCCTTTGGGGGCGGAAGGGAATATCCTCCTCCACTGCCTCATCGGGATCGGTATCTGGTGGATTTTGCTGGTCATGATGATCCTGTGCATGGCCAAAATTGGCCCTTAAAAAAGAAGTGTGTGTTGCGATGAGCTAGAATTCGCAGGGATTTCCATTGATTGGGTTTAGGTTGATAACTGCTACTGTTCTAGGATATACTACGCTGGTGTCGGCGTGGGGGAGTAGTGTATTTTCTTCTGCTACAGCAGAGGTTGCGGGTAAGTGCCAATGGCACACCCTTGACATAGTTATCGCTGCCAAACGCAGCACGGGTGTTGACTTCAACCCTAGTATTTTTCGGAATAAGTGGCGAAGTAGCCATCTTGGGGCTCTCATTTTATGTGCTTGGATTCGCAAGTGGGCCTCTGATATGGGCACCCTACTCCGAGCTCAAGGGCCGGCGGCCCCCCCTGTTACTCGGGATTTTTGGATTTTCGATTTTTCAAATTGCCGTCGCTGTAGCCAAGGATGCCCAGACAGTTCTGATATGTCGATTTTGGGGTGGATTTTTTGCCTCCTCTCCATTGGCGGTTGTCGGGGCTGTGTTCGCGGACATCTTCAGTCAGGAGACTAGGGGAACCGCAATCGCTGTTTTTTCTATGGCGGTATTCTCAGGACCGCTTTACGCTCCTATCGCGGGTGGGTTCATCGCAGAGAGTTACTTGGGCGTGAGTGTCCGGCAGGCATCATTCACACTGATTATATGTCTTGTTACTAACCAAGGGATAAATTGATAGTGGAGATGGACGGAATACATCACAGCAATCATGGGTTTCTTCGCACTCTTCTTGTGCTTGTTCTTTTTGGAGGAGACATACCCGCCAGTGATCCTAGTAGCGAAAGCCACCGAACTTCGCCGCCTGACAAAGAATTGGGGAATCCACGCGAGGCAGGAAGAGATCGAAATCAATTTCAAGGAATTGGTTGAAAAGAACTTTGCGCGTCCGCTCAAACTTCTCTTTACTGAGCCCATCATATTCCTGCTCAGCTTGTACACTGCTTTTGTCTAGTAACTATTGCGGTATTTTTCCGAAAGGCGATTATTTACTAATATATGCCCCGCAGCGGTATCCTTTACATCTTTTTGACAGCCTACCCAATCGTTTTCGGCGAGATCCGTGGTTACGGACTTGGGGTGTCCGCACTACCGTATCTTGGAATGGTCGTCGGGATGTTCTTGGGGGGACTTTTAGTAATATCTTTCCAGCCGTGGACAAACAAGCGGATGAGGGCGAATAACAATGTACCAATTCCCGAAGATCGCTTGGTCCCAGCCATAATCGGGAGCTTTCTCTTCCCCATCGGAATTTTCTGGCTTTCCTGGACGTGAGATTTCCCGCATTTATATGCCCCGTATGGATTTTCTACTTTACGCTGACAAGCATTTCCAGAGGAAACTACCCCGGTATCCACTGGGCGGTTCCCACCCTCGCCGGTATCCCACTGGGCATTGGCCTGATAACAATCTTCCTGCAATCCATAAACTACCTTATCGATGCATACCTGATGTTGTAAGCGCATCTTATCTTATCCTATCCTATACCCGCCCATCCGATTCCCATAGTAATAAGTACTCTTCTAGCGCTGCTTCCGCGATCGCCGCAAATACGTTCCTCCGCTCCTCGTTCGCCGCCGGGTTCCCTCTTTTTGGTCGCCAAATGTTCCACAACCTCGGAGTCAACTGGGCTGGCTCGCTGCTAGGATTTATAGCCGTCGTTATGATACCTATTCCTATCGGATTCTTCCTTTTTGGAGCGAGGATCAGGAAGAGGTCGAAGTGGGCACCGACCGAACTTTGAGTGAGTGCGGGCGGGTGTCAGTAGCATGAGACCTAGGTTACCTACCTGGTGAGGTGGTTGAATCGGGTGATTGGTTCTTCCTCTCGAATGCGGGGTCCATCGATCACTTCTGGAGGCGGTGTAATGGGTTAATTGCACATTTTTGGAAAGGTTTATTCATATGGCGTGGCTCCGAGGGATAGAGAATTTAGATGTCGGTATATGCAATTGTAATTTTCATTTAGAGTGCTGGATTTTCCTCACCAATATGTCTCTTGTAAGTTATTCTTGTTTAAATTGCGATCCAAATTCATCGCGGGTTGAGAAATCAAGTTCGGGGGGATAAGCATAACTTATCACTCGAAAATACTTAGTTTTTTTTCTTTTTCCCCTTAATGAGGTACTACGAGCGGGGATGTCTGGATTGTTTTCTTTTATGACATTGTGTTACCCTCGATTGGGGACTTTCAGTTGTTGAGTCGGGGAAGGATCCAATGATGTGAACCCCCTGCTATAACGTCTTGAGCAGAAAATGGGGGAACGAAATCTCAACAAATCAACTAAAAGTGGGGGGGGATAAATCACTTTGGGAAGTAGAAAAAAGGTTCCAAAAAATCCCACCCCCTCAAAGAACAAAACCGGCAAGCCTGGTGCGGGGGTCGAACCCGCGACATTGAGGTTAAAAGCCACACGCTCTACCACTGAGCTAACCAGGCGGATAGCCTCACTATCAACCTTTGGTTTCATGTTAAATTGTGTTTCCAATCTCACCATAAATGTATTCCGCAACCCCGCCACCCATCTTAGAAGCATCACCCCCCCCCGCCAAACACAGCATCTGTAGGCCTCTTGGTATATCTTCTCCAACCACCAACTCACTCTGACCAATTCTAAATACCATACCCTCAAAAGCGCGTAGAACACTCCTGGTAGTCCAGCCAGCATCCGGTAATGTGAGGGGCCAAACGAGGATAATGAATTATGTTAGAACCAATCCCACAATCGCCTCCGCCTTGGAAGCTCCCCCCATACCCCTCCTCAGCCAGACGGACCGCATCCTCACTTCCGAGCACTACATTAGTGGCGCGCGGGTGGACCAGAGGGGATGAAAGTTGGTGGAACAAAGTCGCCGCTGGTGCCGCCGAACCCTCCCTACTCCATCCAACAGCCCCACCCCTTATGCTATCCTGGTGATAGAAAACCTCATTCCTAGGTAGGTGTGGGGCCCTGAGTTAGATTCTGCATCTCGTAGTAGGGTAGATTTCGCCCTCCAGCCTTATTTGGGAAGATTAAGGTCTTCAATCTCTATTCTCCAATGATAGGACAGGATTTGTTGCTCTCCGTGACCCACACACGATATGGGATCGTTCAATTGTGAGGGAGGATGGAACTCCTGGACCTCTGATGATTGCGCGGGGATTAGCTGGTTCCTGGCATCTCCCCCCCCCTCCCGCGCCAGCTGGGTATTTCACATAATATCACCATCGGAACGAATACTTGTCTTGCTGAGAGATGGATATGAGTCCTTGATCCTAAGGTTAAATATTATGTTGTTGGGCATTGGCTTCATTATTGGTGCAGATGCATCTTCGAGAGAAGGGGGGGGGGTTACAGACACCGATTACTGGTATCGGCGATAACAAAACTCCTTTGCCTGGATGGGCCGCAGCCGGAATGTTACTGATGAAAAAAGGCAGGCTTGGTGGTATGGAAGAGACTAGAGTGGGAGAGGGCTACGGATTGCAGCTGTGTGGTTGAAGGCCGTTAGGCGCCCCTGCGTTGATGAGTGCGTAAAAGAAAAATACTGCGATAAGGTAATACTCGTGACTTATGAGAATCGTGTTCGGGATATTGCGCCTGAATTTCAAGTCCAGTCACAAGCTCAATGCTGAATGCTCTGTAGTTCCTCATGCGGAATCACTCGCGGATGGTGGATGGCTGGTCGAAAGGAAACAGAACAGGTGTGCGGGGGGTTGGATATTGGCGTGGTTTAGCGACAAGTTCCCTGGCCCGTTTGAAGTACCTGTATTTAACAATTCGGAGTTGGCGGGTGAACTAGCCACGGAGAGGAGGCTCGAATAAGACTATTGGCTTGTTCCATGCAAAATAATTGAATCCTCACCGGTTTCAAGATATGTCCGCCAAACGGTACCATGTTGATACTGGTCTTTCGCGGGTGAAATAACCTGCCATCGCAATAGCTCTTTGGACTTCATCACAGGACACAGCGTAGGGGCATCATAGTATCATCCACCGATGCATTTAAAAGCGATACCGGTGCTACAATTACAAGACCCACATCCCCCCACGACTCCTAACATTCCGAAACACCAGCCCGCTTACTTGGCTCCCATCTGCTCCAACTTCTCCTGAGCGCGCTCCTTCGCCTCCTCGGAAACATTGGGATTGTGCAGGGTACTAGCATCATCAGCTGACCGGCCATCCGGCCTTCAAAAATGACGAATGGGTAAGCTTACGCCTTGTAACCACCAGCAACGTTTCCAGGATTCTTTCCCTCGATGTTCACATCTACGCCACTGGGGCCGCTGGTATAGCTTGTGGTCTCAAAGCCGAGCTCCTCGAGAACCTCTCTGGAGTGTTGCTTGGCCTCTGGGGAGGTGTCTAGAATGACAATTAGCGATCAGCGCACTGCGAAAAGTGGAAGGGATGGGAGTAGGTGGTACTGGGATTGTGGAGATTGGCCTTGTGTCCACCGATGACATTGCCCAAGTTCTTCTGATCGCTGGCGGAGTCCATTTCGAAGTCTGATGTGGTAGATTGGCTGTTTTTCGTTCTGTAAAGAGGTAAATGGTAGAAGTTGAAATCTCACTCACCATCAAATCGGTTCTTCCTAAACAACGAAAGAACTCCTGGTTTATATAGACAAATCTAGTTGTGTCCCCGCGCCAACTATTGGCTCCCTTTTTGGAACAGCTAAGTTACTGCCGGTACTTGTAAATTTATTATGCAGGCCCATCTCAAGCAGACAGGTGCCCATTCTTGGCTCGGACGTTCGAGCACACACCTCACCGAAAGGCTCCGAACTAGACGTCATCCCAAGGACACAGTAACTTGGCAGAAAATCGCATTAAGGATTGGAAGTAAAGAATCCCGATTCAGTTGTCCTCACTCACTCCCCTTGCTCTTGGGATGGCAAAAGACTGACGTCTCCCATGACGTCCCCCACCAATCCACGCTCCACTCCACTCCACTCTCCGGCGGAGGGGGTGGGGGTGTTGCTTGCTTGGAATTGCTTCTCACTCAAGCTTTGGAAGCACATCCCCACCGCAGCCGGCGAGGGAGATCATGTTTCGACGCGACGATAAACATGATTCGCGGAAAGCCCAGTGAATTAGGGCGCGTAGGGGGGGGGGTATTTCGGGGTAACTATTCAATACAAACGGACAAAGAGCTGCGGTGTATTGTTATAATAATACCGGTACTGTATACTGCGGAAGAACGCGTTCCTTACAACACGTACCAGAGTCGTTGCCATCATGGTGACATCTTCCCTACCGCGATTTCGGGGGAGGGGGCCAATGATCTTATCCCTTTGTCGGGGCCGGTCACTACTCGGGTGGGCCTTCGTTTTCTGGCTCTGCCGACGCTAGGGATACGACACTCGTATCGGGGTGATGCCAATAACGACCCCGGGAAATGTTTTGCTCTCTCTGGTAGAGGGGATGGCGATTTCTAGCTCGATTGAGTAGTGGGTAACTTGGTGGGGTTGGGAAGGAAAGAAAAACCTTACTACTGAGAGTTGCATTTATTTCCCGATGCGGATTCTTGTGGGCGTGAGCCTCTTTAATAGACTACCGATAGCAGTAGGATAACCTTGTACTCGGGTACGGTACCATCGTACCTCCCCGTAATCCCGCTACCGGCATTGGAATCGGGATTGACAAGGACTTAGCCCAAAGGGAGCATATGTTCAAGACAACTTCATCTCACGATCATGAGAAATTCGGATATCCGGTCCGATTGGTAGGTGCATTCTACCCCACCCCAATTGTAAAAACTTTAGGCATCTGCAGTATCTACCGGTATTTCACCAGGGTACCGGTAGCGATGGCTGGTCGATTGTAATTGCTACCGGTACGGTACATATCCCTTCGTTAGTTTTCGGATCCACACACCTCTGGTTTAGAAGGAGATTCTGGAAAGACCGCCTCGACCGGGCCAAGAATTGTTTGAGCAGGATCGGGCGTGGTACCGGTATTAAGGGGTTTTTTAGGTTGTTTTGCCACTTATCCTTCGCTCTGCGCCGGCTGGCAGGCTGTTGGATCAAGTGCATGAGAGCGTACGAAGGGATCCAGTCGTTTGGAATTGACATTACAAGTAATGTTAGCGCTTTCGTCGGTGGGTGGTAAGAAGTATCACCACCACCCCCGGTTAGCCCCAAATATCAAAGCTCTACCCCCGTACCGCAACGTCTTAGTCCATCACATCCTGAACTTATTACATTATCACCAACCTCACCGGGAGGGCTTCAAGGAGTCTAAACACTCTAAACAAAATGGAAAGGGGATTTCCGAAGTAGTGTTACCTTTGCTGCTGGAAGATGCTGGAAGGTGGAACCTGTACGAGTGTGATGGAGCGCCCATGCAGTGGAGGTCATGGTAGAACATAGTTGGGTAGACTACGGTGGTGTTATTAGTTGAAAGCTCTAGGCAGTGGGAGTCTTAGCTTATGTGTTTCTTTTGTCAGGGGGAATTGCGGAGAATGTCTTTCATATTATTGTCCTAAGTTTGTGGTACTCGAGGAGAGTATTATAGAAAAGCAGGGACTCCTGTGGGCTTTGATCTTTATACCCTTTGTAGCTAAAGTTAAGTCCTGTCATTTCCAGATGTTGTTAGTTGGGCCAATGTGGGTACAAGCAACCAGAATCATTCGTTTTCCCCCAGATTATTTCAGTTCACATTAAATTTGTCCTCTGCACACACTTTAGAACGTTGGAAACTCTGCTGAGGTGCATTTGATAGCCAGATTACTCGAGTATTATCTTACGGAATTATTTATAAATTTATATTGTCAATTACTTTGGATTGGTATGATATGTAGTCTAGTGCGGTTTCCAGTATGAAATACGGAAACCATACTAGAACCTATAAGACACAAATTTACAGTACGAGTACTCTAAGTACAGTATGAAATAGCCTCCATATAACGCTTAAAATTCTAGTATTAACTAGGGCCAGGGATTATCTTGCCGTGGTAAATTAGTAGAATCTCACCCTAGCCCACGTTGCAACAAACAAATATGGCTGCGAAATCCCTATCTGTCGCCACAGCAGACAATTGCCAAAGAGACAGCAATCCCTAACTCTGCGTTGTGAACCCCTGATCGAATCCCCCCAAACAATTCTAGAGCATAACCAGGGGGATAATGCCTATGAGCATTGCTTTCATTATCCCCTCCAGAGTAATATTATCTATGTGTCCTCCAAACCACGATTTCACGCGGTCTTTTCAGGGTCTTCTCAGGAGTCGGGGGGGCAGCTTCCCGTACAGTACTGTACATCAATGACGCTTGGGTTGTCATTGCAACCCCTTAGCACAACCACCGAATGTTTATTTTCGGCGCGAACAAAATTCTACGCTGGTATCACAACCCCCGAGTAAAAGAGAAAGGGAATCCTGTATTTGAACCAGCGAAATGAGAGAAAGAAAAAAAATGCAACCCTTGATGTTGCAGTGTACACATCGGCTCTCACTTCACTAAGCGGCGGCCAAAAACTGTCCCTTCCTTCCACCAACACGAGGTTGGATACTATCTACTTACGGTACCAGATCCTGGTAATCTATTCATCCGTGTGTTAGCGAGATCGTCCCCACCAGGCCACCCACAAAAGAATCAGGAAAAGAGCAAACCTTAGTATTTCTCATCTTCTTCTGTAGCTGTAGAATCCCATACATCAAAGCCTCACTAGTCGGCGGACATCCGGGGACATAAACATCAACCGGCACAATCCTATCACACCCCCGCACGACCGAGTAGCTGTAATGATAGTATCCACCTCCATTGGCGCAGCTACCCATACTAACGACCCAACGGGGCTCGGGCATCTGGTCGTACACCTGACGCAGCGCTGGTGCCATCTTGTTCGTCAACGTGCCCGCAACGATCATAACGTCGGATTGGCGGGGGGAGGCGCGGAAGATAATCCCAAGACGATCCTGGTCGTAGCGGGGTGTTGACAAATGCATCATTTCCACAGCACAACAGGCGAGCCCAAAGGTCATGGGCCAGAGGGAGCCCTGGCGGGCCCAGTTCGCGACTTGGTCGAGGGATGTCCTGGAATTCGTTAGTAGTAGGCTTAAGGGAGGAGGAATTGGGTAGCGCTACAAGACGTATTGCATGACACCCTTTTTGGGCACCTGACTAGGAAGGAGGACCTCCCGTCTATTCGAGCGATCGATGGAGGATGAATCGCGTGGGGCGAGAGATGTTGGAGTGGATAGCGACCGGGTGGTGAGGGATGTCGCTGGTAGAATTCTTGCCGCTGCTTTGTGAAATTCGTTAGAATTACTGGAAGAAGGATTTGCAGGGGGAGGCGTACATCGCGGCACAAGAGAACGCGTTGCAGAAAACATAGTTGTACGGTGGAGTGGAGATGAAGGCTGAAGAAGTGGTGAACTAGGTGGTGAACTAGAGTGCTAAGACTGGGTGTGGGGAGATTGATGGATTACTCAGTGGTTGAGCGGTTGTGTGGTTGAGGGGTTGAGGGCTTGGTGGGGATGGTGGCGGCACGTGCCCATTCCGAAAGTATTACGTTGACATATCTGCAACTCTCATCAACCGCTCCCTCGCTCCCTCTCTCACTCACCCTAGTTTTCTTAAGAAACGTGCACGATCATGTCGGCCGCAATTTTTAAAGAAACAAAGGATGCGGCCAAGACGCGTAGTCATGAGATCTTAGTATTTCATGATGTGGAACCCAGGGACTTTGAACATGTCCAGCAAGGGTTGAGATATCGTACGAATTATCTCGAATAATATTGCTTTCGGTACCCCTCGCTCCACCTCTTTTCCTTTCTTCTGCACAACTAAACACTACTATAGTATCCACTGGTTCACGTATGAGAAAATCCTGAAGGTGGTGATACCCTCCAAGTTACACGAGTGCGCGGCGAAGTGGCTGTACGAAATGATATCGGAAGGTCTAGCGGCCGGAACAATTCCCAGTGTGGGTTCGAACCATGGGAATAAGTCCATTGCCTGGCTTGTCCCCAATTGAGCTATTTTGAAATGGAGAAATCTAGCTAACCAGGTTCACAAGAGTATGATAATTTCATCGGGCAATACCAAAGTTCTAAAAAGGAGGGGGACCTAACCTTGGTTCCACGTGTGGGCCCAGACTGGATCATTGATGCGGAATTCCCGGCCGTAGTCCTTGAGTCGGGATGGAGTGAAGCAGCGGACCAACTTAGCTGCGATGCTGCACTCTAGCTGAGGGGTCCAGGGGTCAAGTGCATGTAGTGGTCTAAGTAAAAATTTTTAAAAGGACTCAAGATCGTATAGGAGCTCGTTTGTCAATCAACCGGGCGAATCCTAATGGAGCTTCCTCCGTCCACCACTATGCAAGCCTCTTTAATCAATACCTAAAATTACTTTTTTTGTTACTAGTGTCCTAATTTTATTTGTAGGAAATTCTGCCCGCTGACAACGATGTGAATGAAGACCCATCCATTACCTTTCACGAATTTTTTGCGGGGCATTGCCCCCCGGGAATAGACCCACTAGGGTGCATTTTCCTAGATATTGGCAGGCTTCGTGAGATCGCAGATGAAGAAAATTACAGTCACTAGTCAGAAGTGTTTGTGAAACGCTGACTAAGCGACCTCGCCAAAAATACCGGCATATGATACAGGTTTGATCAATGTAAACAGTTACGGTTACTGTACAACCTTGTAGAATAATTAGACTGTAAATTTATATTATATTATTGGAAATTCCATAATAATATTATGATATAGAATTTTTTAACTACTTTTCTGCTTCTGTTCCAATTTTAGTATTGTGCATTGACAAAATTAACAGCGATTCAACAATCGGTGGCAACCCACCCCTCTTCATCACCCCGCACTCTCAACAGTACCTAAAAAAATTACTCTAAGTCAACCAAGAAGAAACGATTCTGCTCAATTCTTTTTTTCAATAAACTATGCCTCCTATTCTTCGCAGTTATATCAAAAAACCTATTCCTTCCATACATCTCTCTGGGTTTATCAGGGAGAGGATTCTCAAGTTACACGAGCCTTATATAAGATATTAGCAAATTTCCCACTACCTTAATATCCCCTACACTACTGTCAGAAACACAATTGTAAAGGGGTATCAAGAGGGTAAGGAGAATAAGGGTAGAGGAAGACATCCTAAAACTACCAAGTTATAGGATGATGCTATGGTGGAGGAAGCTTTTAAAAATTGCCATACTACCTATTTTGACATTGCTGAGCAAGTTGCTTCCAATGTTTCGAGTAGGACAGTAAGGAGAAGACTTGAAAAAAAGGATCTTAGAAAGTGGATGGCACAAGAGAGAGTTTATTTGGATGAGGATCTAGTTCAAGAGAGGTTGGAATGGGCATTAGCTCATAGATATTGGATAAAGAAGATGTGGAGAAGGAAGGCATTGTGGGGGGATGAGGTAGCTGTAGAAAGGAGAGGAGGAAAGAGGAGAAAATGGGTTTTCAGATACCCATATGAGAAATGGAATAAGGATTGTGTTGAACCTAAGGCTAGGAGAGGGGAGAGAGGGATTAGCCAGATGATGACTGGTTGTTTTTATAGTTAAACTTATGGTCTTTTTTTACCAGTTTTTCCTAAACCTTCTTCAGCTAGGAGTAGAGTTACTGGGAGGTCAATTATTGATGTTTATAATCATTATGACTTTCTAGAGATATAGGAGAATATCAGAGAAAAGGCTGGAGAAGAAGAGGTATTTTTCATTATTGACAATGCTAAGACTTGCCTTTTAGGAGATGGCTCAGAGGACAAGGAATTATACTGATAGAAATTCCTGCCTATTCACCAGATCTCAATCTAATTGAAAGTGTTTGGTCTCTAGTGAAAGGTAAGCTTCACAAGCACTACCCTGAGCTATATCTTATGAAGGGTGATGTCAATGTAGTCAAGAAGACAATAGTAGAGGCTATTACTCATTGTTGAGAACTTCTTGACCCAAAGGTTTTTGATACTTTAGCTGGATCAATAGTGGATAGAATAGAGGCAATTATTAAGCCTGATGGATAATATACCAAATATTAATTTCTACTATGTATTTACATCTTTTAATTTTTTTTTTTGGTTTTCATGATAGTGGATTAGTGGGTGAGTGTGGTTGTCATCGCAGAAGATTTTCCTCTGTTGAATCGTGGTTAATTTTGTCCACGCATAATATTTCGAGTAACCTAGCCACCCTCTTGTAAGTAGGCCTAGGGCACTCAGATTAGTCACTTGGGGAAAAATAACAGAATCTATTCTATTATATAAAATTGTACAAACTACAAGTCTACTATTATGATGAAAGAAGAAACCAGTATTGTCCTTCTTTCCAACCTGAGGGTTTAGCTAGATGAACATTATCATTTATGATATTATACTCTTCCAGAAAGGCTAACAACAATAACAACGAAAATGAAGAAAGGAATTAATATTTAGAAGGAGGAAATGATTATCAACAAGCAAGATTCATGAAACATGAAGTTAAGAAATAAAAGATATGTCCCTAAAAGTGGAAAAAAAAATCTCTCTTTCTTTCTAGTGCTAAAACAAGAGTATGAAGAGGAATGGGAGAGACAGCCCACAAGAGCAGGCCTAGGAGGAGAATTGGAGCTAGAGAGGCCATGTTGAAAGAAGACAAGTGAGAGACAAGAGAAGTGAAGGAGGGTGAATGAGACATTAAACTTATTGAAGATAGTGAAGATAAGCAAAGACAAGTAAGCGAGAAGAGAAGCAAATAAGTAAGAAGAATGTAGAGCAACCTATATTAAGATATAGATTCATAGCTGTTAGGAGTACTGGGATCCGATACCTAGGAACCACTGTAAGTAGGATAACCTCACTCGGAATCAGAATCTCGGGTCTCCAACACCCCCCGCCTGTAACCGGTACGGGTACTCGGTTATTGGTTTTGTTTTATGTTTTGTATTAAGTATCGCTTTGATACTTGGTTTGTTTTAAGTATCGCTTTGATACTTGGTTTGTTTTAAGTATCGCTTTGATACTTGGTTTGTTTTAAGTATCGCTTTGATACTTGGTTTTGTTTTATGTTTTGTTTTAAGTATCGCTTTGATACTTGGTTTGTTTTAAGTATCGCTTTGATACTTGGTTTTGTTTTATGTTTTGTTTTAAGTATCGCTTTGATACTTGGTTTGTTTTAAGTATCGCTTGATACTTGGTTTTGTTTTATGTTTTGTTTTAAGTATCGCTTTGATACTTAAGAAGTTTTACCAAAGTGTATTGCTTGATACCTTTGATTAGTTTCGTTCATGCTAGACATGAACAGATTTGTGTATTTAGAGACTGCCTGTTTCTACGATAGAAAAGGCAGACTTCGACAGACAGTATTTCAATATACTTGGTTGAACGGTTACTTCTTTGTTCCCCAGTACACCCTCGAAGCCTCCTTTAGTTCTCAGCTCTCGCCTTCTCTCTGGAAGAGCAGGCCACCTGCCAACTATCGTATCTATTATCGATAACGTGATTAGCACCTTGGGAACAAGTTACATTTTTTTAACCTCAGCAAGTGGTTAAGAACCTGTCCCCAGATTTAGGCCTGATCAACCTATCGATATCCACCTCAGAACGCTAGCGGAGAGAAGCGGCAGAATCACAGTACATTCGGCTTCATCTCAAACCTAAGATAGAGTCTTTGACGACCAGGAATGGGAAGCAAATCTCACGGCAAGACCTTACAAGGAAGAAACAACCCCGGTGCTCTGCTAAAGAGCTGGGCGATCCTGCAAACACGGAAGATACACAACCTCCAGGAGAATTCCCTTCTACTCCAGCAAAAAAGGCTTGCTTTGAACCTCCAAACGACCCCGAATCTAGTAGCGAATCAGATATGGCTAGCACAGGAGGAGGGCCTTCTGGAGGAGGGAAATCTCGGGCAAGGCCTGAAGAAGAGGAGGTACCCGCAGCATTTGAACCCCCTAAGTTTAAACTTCACCTCCCAGCGAAGTTCACAGGCGAAGGGAAAGACCTCAAACTTGAAGCCTTTGAACGATGGGCCACAGAACTCTCACACTTCCTACTCTTACAAGGAAAAGATGTGGAAGACCCTACAACCGGACTTATCATTGGATCATTCTGTGAAGGAAAGGCAACCGACACATACCACCAATGCTATAAGGATTTCGGCGGGAATATAAGATTAAGAGGATCTACAGTTCTCGATTACCTGAAAGGACGATTCCAATCCTCTATAACCAATGACGTCCTATACAACAAATTCAACCAGCTCCAGCAAGTTAACGGAACGCATGTCAAGCGCATCACCGATTTGGCTATGGACCTATTAATGTATAAGGACCGAATGGAATGAGAGGAAGTATCTCCAAATACATCCTGAAGCGACGATTCTACGATACCATGCACCCTACCCTCCGGCGAGAAGTAGAACCACTCGAGGAAGATGGCGATGATATTGCAATAATAATTGCAAGAGCAGAACG